GTGGGATAAGTTCCATTCCATGACGTGTTGGTTTAGGGTTAAAGATTGTCTTGATCTTGGTCCCTCTACTGCTTCTGCAAAGAAATGCCACAGATTCTGGCTCCAATTACACTGTAGGAAAACATGGTCAATGGTTTCCTCATTGTTCTTGCAGAGGTGGCAGATTGATACTACATGAAACCCCATGCGTTTTAGCTTATCAGAGAACGGTAGATAACAGTTCAGTGCTTTCCAAAGGAAGAATTTTACCTTAGGGATTTGAGCATTATTCCAACAGTATGAAAAATTGAGTTGAGTAGGCTTAGTCATTCTACAAATGTTATAGGCTTTTTTAAGTGAGAAATCCCCCTCACCCCAGCTGATGTGATCTCCTTCCTCTGAAGTATGTTCCCTGGCAGTGGTATTGATTCTGCAGATTCTCTTCCAAGTTGGAGAGTCATAAATTCTTTCCTTAAAATCAGACTGTCTAAGGTATTTAATTCTCATGAATTTAGCCCACTTAGTGTTGTCTGTTTGAACTTTCCACCATAGCTTGATGGAGTAGGCTTCCTGTAAATCTTCTAGGCTTTTCAGGTTAAGTCCTCCTTCATTAGTTGGTACACACAGGTTGTTCCACTTGCTCCAGTGGTATTTAGGTTTACCATTCTTGAATCCCCATAGGAAATTTGCCATCTTTCTATGGAGAATCTGTATAATTGATTGGGGGATTGTGTGGACAGCTGTGATATGTAAAGGTATGGATGAGAGTACATGTTTGATCAACACAAGTCTCCCCGTGGGATTGAGAGTGGTGCTAAACCAAGAGTTAAGATATCTGTCAAAGTGATTCAGGAGCTTAGAACAATGCTGTTTTCTTAACTTGCCTTTAACCATAGTTGCACCTAAATAAGTGAAGGGGAGTGTCCCATGATCCATACATAGACTTCTGGACATTGAGGCAATTTTAGTTTGGTTGACCTTCTTCCCAGTATAAAAGCTGCTCTTGTTAAGGTTCACTTGTTGCCCAGACCCTTTCTGATAGTCCTCTAAAATCCTTCTAAATTTTTTCAAGTTTCTAGTGTCCCCATTGAGGAAAACCACTAGGTCATCTGCAAAAGCCAAGTGGCTTATCAAAGGGTGATTGCCTGTGTTGTAGCTGCCCAGATAGGTGGACTTCATGTGTAGGTTGATCATTCTTGTGAAGCCCTCACTGTTAATAAAAAAGAGAAGAGGTGAGAGAGGATCACCTTGTTTCACCCCTCTCTTCATTTGAAAGAAACCAGCAGGTGTGCCATTTATAAGAATAGAGAGATGTGTACCTACTAGATTGGCCATAAGCAGCTTTTGTGAGTGTAAGTTGAACCCAAGTTTGTCCAAAATTTTAATAAGATAGCTCCACTCCACCCTATCAAAGGCTTTTGCCATATCCAACTTGACAATGCAGTTGTCCCCTCTTACCTCTTTATCTAGCATGTGCACCATTTCTTCAGCCAATAGAATCTGTTCCTCAACACCCTTGTTCTTTTGAAATCCTGTCTGCTCTTCTGAGATAAATTTGGGCAGCAATGTGGCCAATCTGGTAGCTAGGATCTTTGTATTAATTTTGCTCATGAAGGAGGAGAGGGATATGGGTCTGTAGTCTCCAAACCCTTTCGGATCTTCAATCTTGGGAATGAGGGTAATAAATGTGCTACCAAATGATCTGGGGACTGGAAATCCCAAGAAGAATTCCTGACAGGCAAGAATGACATCCACCTTGATAATCTTCCAGCAAATTCTAAAGAAGTACCCATTGAAACCATCCGGGCCAGCTGCACTATCAGGATTAAGATTCATAATAGCTTTATAAATTTCAGCTTCAGATGGAATAGAGCAGATGAGTTGATTGTCTCTGTGATCAATGACTTGATCAATGAATTGAGAAATAATGGATTCATCTGACTTAGTGACTGTGGTGTAGCAATTAGAAAAATAGTGAATAGCCTCTCTGCAAATATCCTCTTGAGTTGTCAAAATGTTGCCTTGATCATCATGGATTGTTTTGATTGCAAGTTTTCTTCTTTTGCTTTTGACAAATGAATGAAAAAATTTGGAATTGCAATCTCCTTCTGACATCCACTTGATGTTAGCCTTTTGTTTCCAGAAGTCCACTTCTTTGTTAAGGCTAAGGATCAGATTAGCTGAGGCTAGATTAGCCTGAGCTCTCTTTTCCTCTGTTGGGTCATTTTCAAAATCCTCTTGGGCTCTGGCTGCTTTAATTTCATTATCCTTAACCTCCTTAAAAATGTTTCCAAAATGATTCTTGCTCCAGTGGGCCAGAACAGGTTTCAAACCCTTAAGTTTACTAGCAAAGCCAGTCATTCCTCCTGTTCTAGGGCTATGTGCCCAGTAATTACTGACCACTTCCAAAAAACTATGGTGTGTAGTCCAAACATTAAGAAACCTGAAAGGTTTGGGGCCCTTAAACCCTTGTTCTTTGCATTGAATTAGCAAAGGCTTATGATCTGAGGTTGTCTTGCTAAGGTGGGTGAGATTGATTTCTTTGAAGGCCTCAATAGCTGATTGATTATGAAGCACCCTGTCCAACCTTCTCCAAAGCTTTCCTTTACTTCTTGTGCCACTCCAAGTAAAGATTCCACCAGTGAAAGGTTGGGCTGTTAGACCACAAGCATCAATGCAATCACTAAAGTCTTCCAAGTCCTTATAATAAGGAGAGGAGGAGCCTTTATGTTCATCCAGGCTAAGGATGGTGTTGAAGTCACCACCCACAATCCAAAGGTGGGAATCTGTGCTAGCATTGTTGAGATCTTCCCAGAGTATTCTTCTGACAGTAGAGCAATGACCCCCATAGACAGCAGAGAATCTGATTTTGTTGTTGATGATAGGGCACCAGAAGTCTAGGTGAATACATTGAGTATCCTCTCTGGAATCAAGAAATTGAAGAGTGTTATCTTTCCAAAAAATCCACATTTTATTGTTAATACCACCAGTTGAGTTTGAGAACCCCAATGAGATTTTATACCATTCCCTTTTCTTTTCAGCTACAATGGGTTCAATGAGACAAAGAAAGTCAATAGGGTTAGAAAAGATTAGAGCTTTTAGCCTGTTTAGGGAGGAGGCAGCTCCACAAACATTCCAGAACATACAATTCATAAGTGCTTTTTTTGGAGTCCTTCAATAGTCCTAGCTTTACTCCTTGTCATAATTGTTCTAGCAACAGAGGGAGTCTCATGATTAACTGCTTTAGGAATTGCTAGCTTTGGTGAATTATGTTTAGGCATTGTAATCTCAAAGGGTTGAAGCTCTGAATTAATCCAAATAACTGGTTCTTTTTCTCCTTCTGTGTGATAACCTGCATCCTCAATGTAGTTCTCNATTGCTTGAGCCTGATTCAAAAAACTGTCATCTAAGGATATGAGAGGAGGTTTAAAGCTTGGTGTTGTTGTCTTTGAAATGGAATTAGAGTCCCCAATCCTTGATGATGTGTTGAGTTGATTGGAATTTCCTTTCTCATTATTCTGCAGAAATAAGTTAGTGGCAAAATTTCTGGCTGCTGAGAATGATGGAAAGTGATCCTGAACCTTGAAGATGGAATGAAGACCCCAAAAAGGAGAGTGGGAGTCAGAAACAATATCCTTTTGAGAGGGAGAGTTGAAAATAATTAAACTATTTTTCTGCACACCAGTAGTGTCCGGACTGTCAAAAGCTATCACTGAACCCTTACTCTTTTGGCTTGAAGTTGTTGTAACTGGATTATGGGTCCCAGATTCCACTATATCCTGTTGCCCCTTGGTTTCTTAATTGAGTAATGAAACCCATATCTGTTTGGATTTGGTGAATGTATCCTGGCTCCTCTTGGATAAATTATTACCCAATGTCCAGCCATTCCCAACTGTGCCCACTGAGGATGTAGCCTGGCCCCTCTTGGGATTGTCTATTCCCAATGTCCAGCCATCCCTCACAGTAACTTTAGAGGAAGTTGCCTGGCCCCTCTTGGTTTTACCCAATGTCCATCCTTTCTCCATAGTTACCTTGTGGTTAATGAGAGAGTGTGTTGCCTGGCACTTCTTAGATCGATTATCTAATATCCAGCCATCACTCCTCTTAGATCTATCACTAGTGGGACCCCCCGTATCCCAAATAACTCTGGCATCCTTCTGAATAGATTTTTTACTTTTAACCACAATCCACTCTCCTGTATCTGTAGCTTGATTCTTATCTGGCTTGCTTGATTTAGGGGCTGATTTTTGAAAATGACCATGAATCTTGCAAATAAAATTACTAGGGCCAAGCTTGTGACACTATTGACAGAAACCTGGAACATTTTCAAACTTGCAAGGTAGGACTAAATCTCTAGGACCAATTCTAATATGAATTTGAGAGGGGAGTGGTTTTGCAAGGTCTATTTCAATACAACACCTTGCCTCATTGGTCCTTATAAGGCTGGCAGTTTGGAAATCCATGAGTAAAGGTTTACCCAATGTCCTCATTGGTCCTTATAAGCGCTTCGTGGAGGGTTTATGTCCCGACTTATGAGCTCATTTGATCATTGCTCCTCGGGGTGACATCAACGCGTTGTTCAAAAATGTGTTGGACTTGAATACGGCCCTCATCAAGAAAGCTGAGTACGAGCAGTCACAGGAGGTGTCAGCAACACCATCTTGTCCTCCTCCACCTCAGGAGGCAGGGACCAGTAGTAAAAGGTCTTTTGCAGCACTAGCACCACTCACCTGAGCATGAAGGCTAAGGCAGCACCAGCACAGTCATCTGCGTCCGTCCAGAAGAAGGGCAAAAGTGGAGATGGGTTTCGCTTTCCGATTTGCAACCTTTGTGGACGCAGGCATCCAGGAGAGTGTTGGTTCACTCAGGGCCTATGCCTTGGGTGTGGCCAGGCTGGGCATTTCTGCAAGGAGTGTCCGAATAATCCGGGTGAGGCATTTTCATCTGCACCAGTCGCCTCAGCTCCAGCAGCGCAGCCTGCCCAGAGTCAGAAATCTGCGGCAGCATCCACTTTGTTGAAACACGGGCTTGTCACGTTTTTGTACTAAAGCTGTGTTCGTTTTTGTAACCGGTTTTGATAATGCCAAACCGCCGTGATCACATAAGACACTGAATATACAAGTTGAAGAACGAATATAAGAACAAGAGCTATACGAAGACCAAGAACGAAGACCGTAGTCTTAGTGTCGTTGAGTCGGTCTCATTTGTGATCAAGACCGACCCAATCTTTACACCTTGGCTCTTTAGGCTAAAATATTTTCATTGCATTTCTTACATCATAAAAATGTTTTTCAAACATGTTTAAGTCAACAAAAACACTTGGTGATCGCCCAAACAAAAAAACCAAGCCATCCGGCGTTCGGCTTTCAGAAACCGGCGTTCGACTTTCGGTTATCGGCGTTGGTTTTTGGGGTCCGAACCAACCAAGTGATTTTCAAATTTTTATGACTTGTTTTTACTTCTTGGCATGTTTAAACAGTTTTCCAACAAAAACACTTTGAAAACCACCTTTCTGTTAGAATCGTGACCAACGCTAGAGCGGGGGGGGGGGGTGAATAGCGTTTGTCGTAGAAATCGCAGGAATAAAAAAATTAAGAACGTGAAAAGTAAAGAGCATAGAAAGCGTAAAGGGAGCACACCAAGATTTATACTGGTTCACCACAACGTGTGGCTAATCCAGTCTCCCGAGAGACTCTCTCGAGCTACACTACTTCCGTTAAGCTTACGGGTGCTTAACAAACCGTTACAACCTGAGAACTCGAGTCCCACGAGCCTCAACAACACTTGCTCGGAGATACCGCACTCCAAGACTCCAACCTGAAGGAAAATACCTTTCCTTCGTACAACCAAGGGAAACATGCTTCCCTTAACGTGTATACAACACTAAACACTCAAGAACAAAACTCTCTTTAAGAGTAGATGATGAGTAAACTAAGTACGCTCAAGAACAACTCAAACTTCACACAATTTGGCTCTAGAAAGCTATGGAAAATGATGTTATTTGAATGCAATGAAAGTATGAATATTGTGAAGTGAATTGGTGAGAAAAGCAGACCCAAACACCCCTTTTTATAGTGCCAAAAAAAGGCTCCAACAGACCAATGCATTAAAGGGGTGATTGGCTTGATTTAAGGGATTGAATAAATTTGGGATCTGCAGGATATTGGCTTCCCAGCGATGTATGGGATTTACCCATCGCTGGTAGGCCAATTTTCCTTCAGTTTTGAAGCCAACGGTTACCTACCCATCGATGGGTACAAGCTTCCCATCGCTGGGTGGGAGGTTGACTTTCAAACAAGGAAAGAATCAACCTTAAATGACTTCCAACGGTCATGCCTTCTCATCGATGGTTTAGCCTTCCCATCGCTGGGTTCCCATCGATGGGTAAAGCTTCCCATCGCTGGGTAAGGGCATTCTGCCTTGTGATAATATTGGACCAAGGCTTGAACAGCGATGGGTAGAGCTTCCCATCGCTGTTTGGCATGGTTCTGGAAGTTGGTTTGGCTAAGGGGCTACTTACCCATCGATGGGATGTTCTTCCCATCGCTGGGTGGGTGGTTAGCCAAAAACCT